GTGCGGCGCCGCGTGCAGCGGGATCAGCACCAGCTCCTTGGCGGCTGGGGGAGGAGGGGGTGTCAGGCGGGGGGGCGGGGCGGGAGCGGGGCCGCTGCCGGGGCGGGGCCAGCCTCACCGGAGCCAGGGGAGGAGAACCTGACCACGAAAGGTTCCCGACTGAAGGCGTCCTCGGGGTCCGGGTACTGGTACGTGTCCACGACCGACACCACGTCCTTCCTGGAAGCAGAGGGCGGGTGGTCGCGCTGAGCCGGCCCCCTCTGGCTCCGCACGCCCCCTCCCTGAGACCGGCCCCCTCACCTGTAGATGAACAAGTACATTTCTTTGTACTGGTCCCGACCCAGGGGCTCGCTGCTCACAAAGCTGTATTCGTGCTTGGACACGCTGTGGAGACACGGGCCAGCCCGGGGGTCAAGGCACTGCGCCGAGGCCTGGGATCCTGGCCGGGGATCACGACGCGAGGCCCTGCCCCCCACACCTGTTGATCTGCTCCATGAGCGCGGAGACGGCGCTCAGGTCCGGGTCGCGCACCTCCTGCACCAGCGCGACATCGTAGCCGGCCAGGATCTGGGGGAGGAACCGGCAGGTGCGGGTCACGCGCAGCCGATTCACCCGTGGAGCGCAGCTGCGGCCGCGCCCCTGGCTTCCGGCCTCACCTGTGAGATGATGCTGCCGCAAGCTGGTTCCGACACTTTGCTGTCGCCGAAGCTCTGGATGTTGAAGGCTCCTATGCGTAGGGCCGCAGCCCCGGAGGCCCCCAGAGCCCAGATCGCCGCCAGCAGGGCCCGGGGCCCGCCCATGGCGCTGAGCGGGCGGGCTGGGAGCGAGAGGCGGCCCACGTGAGCCTCACCGCCCCGCCGCCAGCTCTACTGCCCAATGCAGGCCGGGGTGGAGGCACATCCTCCCCTGCGCTCTCCAGTTCTCCCCAGGGTGGTGCACCGGGCACTCGGCCCATGGCAGTTTTCCCAGTGGGGAAATTGAGGCTTGAATAGAGGCACCCGGTTTCCGTCCAGCCCCAACTCAACCCAGCCCCAAGACTCACCTGGGATGTGGATGGGGCGGTACCAGAGGCTCACAGTCCCAGTCCGAGTGGGGATCCTGGGTCCGGGCTGGCGGCGTGTGACAGCACAGGAAGGACTGCAGGGACTCAGTCCACCAGGCAGCAGCTTGGTGCCAGGGCAGGGGCGGGTATTTGAGGCCCTGGTCCAGGGAGGGGCCCCACAGTGCTGGGCCCCGCCCCTACAGTGGAGCTGGATGCTGGGACTCCTGGCTCCTGTACCCATACCCAGAGACCCCAGAAGCAAGGGGCAGGGGATCTGCCTCAGGAAGCTCTGGTGCCCAGGCCTGTCCAGAACTGCTCCAGAAGCCCCTGCAGCCCCCCCAAGAACAGCATCAGGACTGGGACAGAGGATCAGCCATGTCCCCGCCCCTCAGGAACTAGGTCACCCAGAATCTGCCTCCTGAGCTGCATCCCCTCAGGAAAACTAAAGCAGAGAAATCGGGAAAGACCAACCCCATCCCAGGCCCAGCACTTATGCTGCTTCTCCCACACCTGTCCTTACCTTGGGGTAAAAGGCTGAGGCTGCTCAGCCCAACCCAAGGCTCCTGGGTCTCCCAGCCACAGTCCCCATGCCCCATCAGTGGACACCCTGCCACAGCCCCAGGGTTGCATGCTGGGAAGCAGCACCTTCACCCACCCACTCCTCCAGCAGGCCCAGGACACTGGGGTCACAGCTCCAGCTGGCAGGAGGCTGCCTGTCAACATGCCAGCAACACCCACGCGCCACCAAGGCGCCGCCAGGGCTGACAGAATCCCTGGGCGGGGTGGCCAGGCACAAGATGAGAGGGTGACCTGGGAAGGCAGGTGTGGCCAGGGGAACCCTTGAGGCTGCCCATGCCTCAACATCAAAAGCTGCAGGTTTCCATGTTTTATTGTAAAGAAACAAAAAACTGCGTATGTACACTCCATGTCTTCTGGACGCCTGAATTCTGTGCATTCTTATCTTCAGCATTCCAGCCCCTACCCCAGCCCAGCTGTGACCCACAGGCCCCCGTGCTAGACGATGACAGTCTGCACCTCGAGCTGGCCCTCTGGCGAGGCAATGACCAACTCGCCCGCATGCTCCAGGATCTCAATGTCCTCTGATGAAACCATGGTCACAGTGGCCTGTTCGGCACCATTTGCACCTGTGCGGGCTGCAAGCACGGTGCCCTCGCTGATGGCCGAGGCCAGCGTCATGGCCACCTGCTCCGTCAGGCTCTCAGGGGTGGCAATGGTGATGGTGTCAGTGGCAGCTGCCTCCGGCCCCAGCCCTGCCTCCTGGTCCACGGTCACATTCTGTACAATGATCTGGTGCCCAGCACTGGCCTGGTGCACAATCTGCCGCACCACCTTCATGATGTGGCTGTCCACCTGTGGGGGGCTCACAGCTCAACCCAAGGGGCTGCACGACAGAGCCAGGCCAGCCCTCCCCACCTTCACCCAGCCCCTCACCTCCGTCTGAGTGCCCTCAATGATCTCCGTGGCTTCGCTGGTCTCTGCATCATCTGCAGTGGCCTAGGCAGACAGTCAGAGGTTAGTCAGCCTTGGCCATCCCTGAGCCCCATCCCAGCCCCACCAGCCCCAAACTCACCTCGATGATATACTCCTGGGTGTCAGCCACCACAGATGAGAACTCCACCAACACGGTGTGTGGGTCCTCCGCAAGGACGGTGGCAGCCGCCGCAGGGCTCTCCTCTGACACCAGCAACTCCTCCACCTCCAGCAGGCAGCCCCCTGCCAGTGCGGGGAGCTCAGTCAGGGCTGGGTGATGCCCTCCCCCCAGGCCCTCCCCGCCACCCACTAGCCCAGACCTTTGGTGCGCAGGTGCCGGTTGAGCGTGCCATGCTCGGCGAAACCGCGGCCGCACTTGTAGCACTTGAAGGGCTTCTCGCCCGTGTGGTGCCGCAGGTGCCGCACCAGCGAGCCCTTCTCCCGGAAGCCTCGGCCACAGAACTGGCACACGTGTGGCTTCTCCTCCAGGTGTGTCCGGAAGTGCACCTGCTGGGCGTTCTGTCGAGACCCACCATCAGGGCAAGACTGACCAAAACCACACAGACCACGGCTGTCCCCACCCACCTCTGGGTCTGAGTGAGGGGCTGGGCCGAGACTAAGCAGGTTGCAAGGGAGAGGGATGAAAATGGAGGGCAGGGGCAGGGAACATGGGGTGCATCTGGGCCCAGGGCTGGGTATTCCAAGGATGGAGGTGGGGGCAAGCACCTTGGTCTTGTAGCGCTTGCCACACTGGGGACAAGGGTAGGGCCGCTCGTCCGAGTGGACACGCCGGTGGCCACGCACGTGGGCGATGGTCTTGTACAGCTTCCCACAGTCGCCGCAGCGGAAGCGGCGCTCGTGCACATGCACCTCCTGGTGCTTCTTGAGCAGGTAGGCCTTGGGGAAGGCCTTGCCACACTGCATACAGGTGAACGGCCTCGGCCCTGTGGCCCCAGGCAATGTCAAGCCAGGCCCACCACCCGCGGGCCCATTTGGCCACCCACTGCCCCTGCACAGGCCATCCTGGCCACCCACAAGACATCCTGGCTGCCCATGGGCCCTTACTGGCCACCCACCTGCATGGCCCCTCTTGTGGGCCTCCAGGGTGGCTGCTGTTGGGAAGGTCTCACTGCATTGAGGGCACGGGTGAGTCCTGGGCACAGCTGAGGCCTCACTGGCCACCTGCTGGGGGACCACAGGCGGGTCTCCAGCACCCACTGCAGGCTGTGCCCAGATGTACTGAGGACAAGACCACAGACCCCACCCTGATGAGCTCCCTCATGGCCCCAGGGAAGGCAGCGAACAGACCAGTGGACAAAGTCACTGCAGAAAGCAATGCCTCTCTGCCACAGGGAAAGCAAGGAGGCTGGCAGCCCAGGACTGCATGGTGATGGGCACCAGGGTCCAGCCCCTGGGAAAGAGCATGGGAAGGGGCACGCTGGCATCGCAGGCACATACTGTCTCCATCTGCTCCACCTCCAGCAGTGGCAGTTCTGGGGCTCCCTCTCCCAGGGGCTGGGGACTGGACCTTGCAGGAGGGGCTGGCTCCAGGGCACCATCCTCCCCAGCAACCCGCTCGAGGACAATGCCAGAGTTCTGCATGGCCTGGTGCAGCAGGTTCTCACGGCTGCCCTCGCCAGGACAGGAAAGCTCCTCAGGGCCCGAGGGCTGCAGGGGAGGCAGAGGGAGGCTGGCCAGGCAGCCTGCAAACAGCATCCACCCGCCCCCATCCCACCAGCAGACCTGTGCTGGGCCAAGTGCACCAGGGGACCTTTGTGCCCACCTTCACTCAGGGCCGTGCTCTTCCTGGGTGAAGCCCAGCCCTCACCTGCCGCATCCCAGCCCCAGCACCCTTCCCACCCTCTGGCATGCCATTTACTGCCGAGCTCCCCTGCGGCCGGACTGAGCTCCAGGTGGCACCCAGTCTGCTCTCTTCCTGCTAGAGCCAGCACCCAGAGCAGAGCCTGGTGCTGAATGGGCAGAGGACAGAGCAGCCCCTGCAGGTCTCCACCAGCCTGCTCCCACCTCTGAGGCCAGGGATTTCATGCCCAGGGGCAGCTCCTGCATCTGGACATGGACTTCGTGAATGACGGTGCCTTTGGCATCTGTCACCAGATGAATCACGGGTGAAGTTTCCATGGGCTCGCCTGTCACTGATGATGACGTAACTGTCCCCATGGTGGAGGTGCCGGACCCTTTAAGGCAGAGCTGAGTGAGTCCTTGAAGATCACCCCCTGCCACCAGTGGCACCCAGGCCAACAGCCAAGGCAAGAACAGCAGCCCCGAGGACCCAGGCAGCCACACCACCACTCTGACCTGCAGGTGTGTCCTCTTTGCTGACAGCGTCCTTGCTCATGCTGAAGCGGATTTTTTCCGTGCATGGGGTAAGAGACTTGAGGTGCCGGGTCAGTGCACCCGACTCCCGGAAGCTCTTCCCACACTTGGCACACTTATACGGGCGCTCGTCTGCGGAGAGAGCAGAGTCAGCCCCGGGCAGAACCGATGCCCTGCCGGCAGGGAAGGCAGGCACCAGCCGCCTCACGGCCATGCCGGCTCACCCGTGTGCCGCCTGTGGTGCCGGATGAGCGAGCCCTTGGTCCGGAAGGAGGCCCCGCACAGCTTGCACTCATGGTCCTTGCGGCTGCTGTGGGTGACCATGTGTGCCTTGAGGATGCTACCCTGTGGGGGGAGTACAAGGCTCAGCGCATAACCCTGGGCAGGGGCGGGAAAGCTGGGCAGCCCGTGGCCCGGGCTCACCGTCTTGAAGGTCTTGTGGCACAGCATGCACACATAGCGGCCGTCCTTGTTCACCAGCAGCTTGACCTGGGCCTGCTCGCCCTCCCCAGTGTGCCCGAGCCCCTGCCCCTGCCGGCTGGGGCTGCCCAGAGCCTCTGCTGTCTCGCTGTCCACCGGCTCCGCTTCAGCAGCCACGATGACTTCTTTGATGTGCCCACCATCTGAGGAGAGGCAGGTCAGCCTAAGCCCCAGAGCCCACCACAGGCCCTGCCACCTGGGGGAGGATCCTTTCCCAGGAGACTATCCAGAGCCCCCTCTCGTCCCATGTCGTGGGACCTGCTGCTCTGGGCCAGGCCCAGGATCCAACTGGCACTCAGGAGACTCAACACAGAGGCCCCAAGGTCAGCCTGAAAGGGTGGGGGACACACCCCTCCGACTCTGTGCAGCTGCCTGGAGGAGCTCCAGGATCCCTGGAATGTGTCCAGTGGGGAAACCCACCATGAGCACAGACACCCCATTCCCTGAACCAAGAGGACACGCGGATCCTGGCAACATGGTGCCCAGGTACCCAGGTGCAAAGACCGGACAGGCCAGCCCAGCTCACTGCCACCTGTTCTGCTCACTGCCCTGGCTCCCACCAACATCAAGAGGGAATGCTCTGGGGGTTAACCACTAGCTGGGCTGCTGGCAGGCAGATAAGCAGGCCTGGCCAGAGCCCAGTCCCCTGTCAGACTGGGGGTGCTGGGCCTGAAAGAATGAACACTCCCTAAACATATGGGACAGTCTGAGGAAAGGAGGTTGGGCTTTTGCACTTCTCATGGGGTGTTGAGGAAATCTG